TTCCACTCGCGAAACCGACCTTGCTTCATTGCTTACTTGTTTTTTTATCGCAGAGTAACCCGTTGAACGGGCGAGATCCGGTTCAAGGCTACGAAGAGCACCTCGAACCGGTCATTCGCGGAGCAAGGAAGGCAAGGCTTGCTGCCGAGGCACCCACAGGCGCGCCGAGAGACCCCCGGGGCGTTGCGGGCCCTCGAGTTAAGCTCTAAATGTTCGGAGCGCTTCGCGTTGAACGCCGCCCGGCTTGCGCTGCGTCAATTGGCGTCTTTTTCTCTTATGCTTTGAAAATGAGGCACAAAAGAAAATGAAGGCCAAGTGTGTGATGATCTTTCCCCGACAGAGACATGTCTTGTCTTTTTTTTTGTGTGTGTCTGTTGTTACGATTTCATATTTGATGCGCGGATACGGCGGGGGTGTGGGGGGTACAGTAGTTAGCTTTTTTCTTGTTTGTTTATGTTGGAATGGAGCAAACAGATATATCACCAGTGTGCGTGGTCTCCCCCCCCCCCCCCCCCTACGTTGTGAAGTACAAATTCAGTAGGTGCGGGGGAAATGGCATGTCCGGCACGACCGCTGTAAAATAGGGGTATATGCACACATCGATGATGGAACCATATGTCTCATTGCATCTTGATACATTCACGGGATCGCTTCTTTCACACAGTCAACATCATCCGGACGCTTACATTGTAGAACCCTGTGCTTTTACACCCTGCGGCACGAGAGTGGCAAGACATAGAGAGAGAGAGAGAGAGAGAGAGAGAGAGAGAGAGAGAGAGAGAAGAGAGAGATCGGGGACTCATGAACGGAGCGCTCCTCCGGTCGTCCACAAACAGTTTGGGATTGTTGTGCCAGGAGACCTTTGATGACCACAGCTCAGCCTGACAGGGACGCACACCGATGACTGCTGTAGTTGTTGTAAGAACAGAAAAGAACAGGAAAAAGCAGGTGGTGATAAGAAGACGGAGACACCTTGATAATATCCTTCTGCTGGTGGTTCCCCACTCTCTGGAGGACGAGCTCTGGCAGCCACGCCACGGCATGGCCCTGCCTCGAAGTCGTTCACGCGACCGACGGGGGTGGTCAACTAGTTTGACGCTCTGCCTGTCTGTCTCGCGGCGCGATGGCACGCCTAGGCAGATGCCTCGCGGCACCGCCCGCGGCGCGGTGTACTTACCCGCGGCGCGGTGTACTTAGTGGTGGAGGTCACGCGAACCAGAAATTTATGTCTGGAAACCCGGGGATGGTGGCTGACATCCCCTCGTTCGGATCCGTCTCCGCCGCTCTCTCGCTGTCCCCCCCCCATCCACCACCAGCCCCGCGGAGCTGCAGAAATCTGCTGATACTTGACGGGTGACTGCTGGTGAGTGTCCGTTGGTGCGCAGCTTTCTCTCGGGTTTTGCGTGTTACGTCAAAGTCCCAACAAACTGCAAGCTGCATGCATTGAGCGAGGGTCCGTGCGTTTTGTCTGCAGTCGACACACGTTCGGGACTCGCTGGCTATATTTTCGGATCACACAATATGGTTGGCGCGGTGTTGCATGTTCGTTTGTACTATCAAGGCTACGTCGTTTCGTGCAATCACAGGACTTCTAGACGACCTCTCTCTAAGAAATACTCATACATGCACGTCAACACCGGTCCTGAGATAAAGACCACCGGCCCAAGTGCCTCACCTGGTTTTGGCTGGCTACTGGTGGTTGAGAGAACAGGCCGATCATGAAGACTGCTGTGGAGTAGACAAGCTATGTACACGCCAAGAGCTTGCCGGAGGATGCGACCAACGACGCCACTCTGGTGCTCCCCTTCTTTGCAATCAGTACCAAAAGGCCCTCTTCTCTCTCTGCTGGTTGATCCTTCATGTTGCACATTTCACAGATGTTGAGATAATGTATCACCACGCTGGTGGTCCGCAAGTACAAGGTCCGCAGCAGATGTATCGCCAGGTAAGCGGAGAGCCCAGGAGCTTGTATGGCTTATGCGTAGGTATGCCTATCTCCTTCAAGGCTTATGCATAGTAGTAATACTGTAGTACCTCCTCAGAGACTGGAATTGCGGTTTCTCGGAGACAGGGAGGGGAGGAGGGCATTGAGCACAACAACCTTCCATACCGCTACGTGTCTTGTTGCTAGTAGTCTACTATATAAATCGTCGGTTCTTTCGTAAATAGTGCTCCCCACATTCTCCTTGCTTTCGTGTGCTTTGCTCTTGGAAGCACCGCATCATGCGTCCCACGCACCCTCCGTCGGAGGCCGAAGTGTTGCACAAACGGCCTTCTTCCTTGCGTTTCGAGCAGTGCTTGAGACTTCCATCAATCAGCGCACACCCCTCCGGCATCACCTCCGGCATCACCGCCGTGTTTCCCTACTATCCTCACACACTTGGGGTTTTGTGCCGATCAAGCGCGGACTTGGCTACAGCGGTCGTAGCCCCGTTTTTTTTTGCGGTCCATAGTGTCACAAAAAATGTTATTACCGCTACAATATTGAGGGCATCGTCGCTAAACCGGATTGGCAGTTATATCCCGTGCGCTCTTCTGAGCTCTTGCTCCAAGTAGTGAGGCCCCCTGCTTATGTCCCGTCCGCTATGCCCCCAGGGTACACCGGGGTCATTACCCCCTGGTAATGGTCCACCGGCAGCTGGGGTCGCGCAGATGGGACCGGCGTGGGTGCAGCTGAAGACGTACTCCGCTCAACCGGGGCCGCCGTATAGGGGCGTCCGCTTCAACCGCATGACTGTGAGCATACAACCAATCACCGCCCTTTGTTTTATCTGCTTCAACTGCGTGACTTGTGAGTTTTCAACCAAGTTTGTTTTGTCTCAGGTCCAGTAATGTATTTGGCTCTCATGACAGCAGTGAAGCTGCGACCAGCTTGAGAAGGGGTGGTCGGTGACTGCTGTCGTGTTTCCATATGCATGCTTTTGTTTCATGACGATGAGGCTGATGCTTCCTCCGGAACGTGCTTTGCAGCCTAAAGAACGCAATCGACATGTTGGTGCGTTGCTAATGTTGCTGTTCTGTTGTTGTTGTTGTTGTTGTTGTTATCATCATTATTTTTGTGCTGTTCTTGTGTTGTTTGTTTCTGTTGTTGTTGTTGACGAAATTCGGGGTGCAAGCATTATCAAATATAAACCACCCGACGAATTTTCACACATGATGTGGGGTGTGTGTACAATAGCGCAACACTCACGTCCAGTATTTTTTTTTCTGCGCGAGACTGAACTACCATCAGCTGCAAATGTCGCTCTTCTGTAGCGTCGATCGCGTGTTGTTAGCACTTTTTCTCGCCCCTTCTCTTGACTACCGTAAGAGTGTCCTGTCACTTATCGTCACCTGTACGGGGCAGGGTGGGCTGATTGTAAATCTCCCTCTCGGACCCGTGGCTTCCTTGAGTACACAAGCTTGCCTGTTAAGGGTCACGGTTCGTAGCACCCAGACCTCGTACCGTATATGACACAAGATAACACACCCCCTTGGCCGATTTTCAAAGCTCGATTTCTCAACAGCAGGAAGAGTCACGGCGCCGAAAACGGCAGCGTTGGAATCGTCTCGTCGAGAAATTTTCGAAAATGTATCGTTTTGTTTGTGCATCCTCTTCGTCGTGGAGTAATCGAGCTTTGGAAATCGGTCTAGGGGGTGTGTTATCTTGTGTCATATACGGTAGGCGTACGTACTATTTAGCTCCCCCTTTTTTATTTTTTCGCTCTCCCTTTTTTGTGTTTTCGCCCCGCCTTCTTTGTTTTTGAGCTCTCCCTGTATACATATTTATTATTCCCGATGACGTTTCTTTCCGTGTGCTCAGAATGCCTGGGGAGCCATGGTCAGCTGCAAGGGGAGAGAGGTGGAGATTTCGTGTCACGAGCACGAGGAGGAGGCCGCTCTCGCGTGAGTGGTGCAAGAGGTGTCTTTCTTGTGTTTTGAGCGCCGAGAGGCATGTCGCCTTCGTCTGATCGGTAGTATGTCGCCTTCGTCTAACCGGTGGCATCCGGGCGGGGTGTTGGTTTGCGACCGATGTCTTGCGGCGACGTTTTTTATCGTCTCCTGACGCTCACGTGATAAACGTATGCCCTCCCCCCAAACCAGCATTTATATTTCTATGATACAATCGTTTTTTATCATTGCACACCATGAATTGTCTTTTTTGCGCTGACTGAAGTAGACATATCAATCTTCAGACCCAAGCGCCCAAATCACGAACCAGAGAACCACACCACATCACAACTCACCAAACCCCATGGGACACAAAGCAAAACAGTAGTACCTGTGACCAAGGGTGTTGTCACCGACGACATTCGCCACAACACATGTCACCACCAACACACCCGAACGCCTCCTCGGACACTCAAACATCGCAACCGCCATCCTTTTGGCACACACATACACACACGTGTGGCCGCGTTGTGCATATATATATATATTTATTCATCCCGAATGAGTCGTAGTCTTTCTATGCTTTTTTATGTGTGTTGTTATCTTCACATCGAAAACCGTTCCGTTTTCTCTACCCAGTACCTTCTGCTGTCCGTGCTAGTCTGACACTTGACGCGGTCGATTCCTCCCGTGGTCACGGGCTAACTTACCCAAAAAAGGGTATACGGTACTAAATAAAATGAAGTATATTTTTCATAAAAAAAGGACACACCGCCGCGCGCGCGCTTGCTCGCTGCCTCCGCCTGCTTGCCGTCGGCAGTCACGACAGGAGGGTGCTGGAGCTGTTCGGTGCAGGGTCGAGGGTGAACTTCCAATACAGCGGTCTGGTGGATCGGGGCACGATGCAGGTGCTCGGGTTGCGGTCCGCGGACGGCACGGAGATCCCCTTTCCAACGGGGGGCGGAGGCGGCGGCGGCGGCGGCGGCGGCGAACAGGTGTGTATAGTGCGCGCGTGTGTGTGTATAGTGTGTGTGTGTGTATAGTGCGTGTGTCTTTATTATTAGCATAAACCGCAACCGCGCCAACCGGCTGACCAATGAAAAGACGTCAGTCTCAGTGCGTGTGTGTGTTGTCGTCCTACTTCTACTTCATTTATTATGGCGACAGTCCCCCCATTTTTCGTGGTGAGACGTGTACTACATTCTCCAGTGTATGTAGATTACTACACTTTTCAGTGTGTTTTTTCGTACAACTACAACCGTCCAGGGTCACACAGGAGGGGGGTTAAACACCGTATAGTGCATTTTTATTGTTTATTGAACGATGGTCCTGTAATGGGAGAAACCGTGTCTGCTCCTGAAATAGCAGCTCTATCGTATGCTTCAGGTCAACAAAATCACGCCTCGCGCACAGAGTTGTTACTTATCCCAAGAATAATAACCCAGATTCAAGAGACCGCGTTTTCTCTCCAAAATGTCTTGGCCACAAACGTACGTGGGTCAACCAGAAATACTCGCGGCCACTTACATAATACGGTAGCCACATAAACGTTGCACTTTGACTCCTCAGCACTACCACTTCCTCGTCTTGCTAGCCAGCTCGAGCTGTTCTTGAAATAGAAATACTGCCTCAAAACATCACGACACTCAAAATGATCGTCAAGAGGAAGGACGGCGGCGAGTTCATATCCTGCGACCGAAACGAGTGGAACAACTCCGCCTCCTGCAAAGTATCGCTTTGGCTGTACGCTCCAAGCAAGGACCACCCCCACCCCTGCACCCCCTGCCTGCAAGACGTTTGCGGCAGGCGAATTCGTCTTGTAGGCACAAAAGGTACAGGGGTGCGGATGATCCTTGCTGGGCTGGAGCAGCGAAAGGGATACTTTGGAGGCGGGGTCCTTCCACTCGTTTTGGTCGCAACTTATGAACTCGCCGCCGTCCTTTTTCTTGACGATAACATTGACTGTAACGATGAGTTTAGTGACACATGCATGAATATAGCGTGATAGTGCGAGTCTCGTCGAAAATTGATCTTGTCGCGGGCTGTCGTGCTGCACCCGGTCGCATGTAACGATGTGTCAGGTACAGCACAGCAAACACACACACAGAAATCCGCTGATTGGTCAAATCATGTGAGGCTGGGCACTGTCAAGTCTAGCGTTAAGTTGGAAGATCCGCTTTTTTTTAGCTTAATTGTATGCATAATAGCTCTATTATCGACCGCGTTAACCGGCTGACGAATGAAAGACATTATTCTCAGTGAGGCTGAAAATACAAAGTGTATGTGTGTGGATTTTAATATTAGCATCGACCGCGCTAATCGGCTGACCAATGAAATGAAGTCCGGTCAGTGCGACTGAAAACAGAGAGTGCTTCCAGAGGCCACCATCTAGGACGCCGTGAGGGGGTATCATGGGAGAGGCCAAGTTGTTATCCGAATTAAAAGACAGAAACGTCGTAACCGGCTGACGAATGAAAAGACGTCAGTCTCAGTACCGTTGAAAACACAAACCGTGTCAATACGTGTGTCTGTTTGTTAACATCGACCGCGCCAACCGGCTCACCAATGAGAACACGTCAGTCTCAGTGCGGTTGAAAAAATAATGAAGGCCATGATCTGGGACTCCGTGAGGGGATATTAAGCATGTTTGTGTGTGTGTGACTGACTGGCCCTTCTTTCTTGTTGTCCTTCCAATCAGGGCGCGTGTGTGTAGGCACCGGGAGCGTCCTTGTGTCCTTGGTCAGATCCAAGTAACCCTAGCCCTAGCCCTAAAACCCTAACCCTAACCCTAGCCCAACCCTAACCCTAACCCTAACCCTAACCCAACCCTAACCCTAACCCTAACCCAACCCTAACCCTAACCCTAACCCTAGCCGTAGTTGGTCTTGTGTGGCCCTGACCCACAGAGAACGCAAGTATTCCAACAGCTAAATGCCTCTTTTTCGGCATTTCCTTTCGCCCTTGTCAAGAACCGAAGAGCAAGGTATAGAGTTGAACGTAGCTTACGCCTCATCCAGTATTGTCCTGTCTCCCTACAAATCAAGGAGAATGATTGACGTTACCTACATACAAACCTGTCTAAGGCTAGCTCTGCACGTGTGTTCGCTTGTCTTGAAGACTACCCAACGCTGGTAGGCAAGAGAAAGCCTCGAGTTTACGTGATGGATGCGTTCTTTTGAGTGTACACCCAGATCGTGGCCCATAACATCTTCCTGTGCTTGTCGATATTTAGGTCTCTTGCTTTTTGAAAGGAACAACTGAAGGTTTCTTAAATCCTTGACGGGAATCGAACCCTTTTTTTGCCGTGAAAAGGTCAAGTCCTAACCATCAGACGAAAAGGACTTAAAACAACAATTTATCTAATTTTTTGTGCATTGGTCCCGAATCGTATTGAACGATGGAATATACGCTTATATATGTCTGAGGTCATTTCGCGCTCCCGACGCTTCTCGTGGAGGGCATGGATGGATGGGTGATGCATGTAATCGCCCCCCGCAGCCAACAGTGTATTGAGCCTTGAGATCGTTGTATGACCACCGGGAGGCTATGTAGGGCTAAGAAGGGACACAGCAGCAGTTCCACAAAGCTGTTTCGTGGTTTGCCCCCGCTCTTGTAGCGCCCTCACGAAGGCAAGGTCGCGTACCTCAAAATGTCTGAAACGGAAAATTGTTCCGAGACTCTCGATCCCAACCAGTTTTATATCCCAAGCACGGAGTGTTTGTCTTGCCTGCGGACCGCCGCCACATCTACGGCCTTTTACCTTATCTACACCGCCCTTTTTTTTTTTCTTCTTTTTTGTGCTTTTCCTCGGCAGAGTTTGTCGGGAATGAGCCCTTCGCACACCCTGCCAGCGCGGCTGCCACCAAGGTATGTAGGACTGCATACCACAGATTTGTAAAATGTTTCTTTTTTAGGTTGGTTGAGGTTCGCTGGGCTCTTCGAATCGAAACCACGTTACTGTAGGTTGCGTAAGATATCACACCCCCTGGCCCGATCTTCAAAGCTTGATTACTCGGCAGGAAAAGCAGTGACGGTGCCGAGAATGGCAGCCGTTGGAACCGTCTCGTCGAGCGCTTTCCGACAACGCATCCTTTGATTTCAGCATCCTCTTCGTCGTGGAGTAATAAAGCTTTGAAAATCGCTCCAGGGGGCGTGGTATCTTGTGTCATGCCACCTACGGTAGCTGTGTGAGCTATTGAGCTTGAGAAACGTCACACCGCAGCTGGAAGCCAACTGGGGGCCTGTCTACCATCTTCGATCACCCCTTGATGGCACAATCGCTTGCTTTTGCGGCTTCGACACTCCTTGTGCCAGGCTTCACGCCGGTTCGTAGAGGCAGGCTGGCACCAGGCTTTGTTGCTTTTGGTAAGAGCTTGCCGATTGCGAAAGGCAATTCTTATCTGTGGAAGACATGGACTTGTTCTGTTTTTTGTACCAAAAAAAAGGAAAAAGCGAGGCAAGGAGTTGCAAAATTTGCGGCGGCGTCGCCAACTTTCAAAGTTGTTGCGGGTTCGCTCAATCTCACGAAATAGCTACTTTCTACACCGTCCTGTGCGCTCGGGATGAGGATCTCCAAAACGTAGCAAGCACCACCGCCACCGCCGCCTCCCTTTTCCTCGGTCTACATAGTTCTCCGTGCTACGAGAGACAGGAAGCGAACGTTGAGTCGGGAGTCTCCGCGAGCTGGCGTCGTGCTGTCCTCCTCCGCTGCAAGCACATCTAGGGCACACGAGAGGGACACCGGACCCAAAAACTTTAGTGCTCCTCATTTATCCCGCCGCCCCCTCCCTAACGCCCGCGATGTTTTGCGGTGGCTCCGGCTGTCTCTTGTCGTAGCCCGGGTAGAATGACGGGCGTAGAAGACACGCCGGGGGCTGGTCGCTGGGACGGGGAACGGCACGTCACGCCCAGCCGGCAGTTGCCAAAGGCCCCGGGGATGGGGGTGGAGGGGCCCCGTGAGGTAAGGCTTGCCGTAGGTGACAAAAATAGGAAGGAACGAAGGGCCATCGGTGATCGGTCCTGTGGGAACAAGGCTCTGTCCTCTCGAGGACGCGTGTCAATGGTCTAACGGCTAAGGCATGGAAAGACATGAGTACTTGCCCCCCCCCAATGTTTGTGCCACCTATGGTGAAGTAGGAAGGAACGATGTTGGCCATCGGTCCTGTGGGAACAGTTTTTCGTCCTTTGGAGGACACGTGGTCATTGGTTTATCCGTTAGGGCATGCAAAACTTGAGTACCCCCCCCCCCCCTCCCCCCGGTGTTTGCCATCGGGGTTGGGTTTTCGTCGCTTGGCAACGAAGTTGTAAAACAAGCCGATCACTTCGTGAGCTCGGCAACTAGGTTGACGCTTTTTTTTGCCTCTATTTTTTTTTTTCGGTAGCCATAATGGTGGTCCAGTAGATTCTGTTGTGCGGAGTCGAGAACCCTCACTCCGCGCAAGGGGGATGATCGCACCACGTTGTGTTGAGTTGGTCAAGCACCATCGAGGCAGTTACACAGTGCTCATGTCTGTCTCAATAATTAAGTCATACGCAGCTGTCATCCGTACGCAAGGAAGTTTGTGAGAGCCTGAGCCTGGTCCGGTGAGAACCCGGCGTGCTCCGTCCCGACTTTGTAGGGATGCGACGTCAATGGTCTAACGACTACAACGTGCACGACTATGAGTACGAAGGTATGAAGCGAAGACCACTTGGAGATATACGGGAAGTTGAAAGAAGGGATAGGGATGAAGACGTACTTGGACGGCCCCATGGACTACGCGAAAAAGCTGAAATTGCAATTTCGAGTAGGCGATCTGGACTTGCCAGAACGGAGGAAGAGGTATGCCAGCCGTAGGAGAGAGGAAGAGGAGGATAGACACACATGTCCATGTGGCAAATCGGAGGAGAGTAGACCCCACATAGTTGGGGAGTGTGAGTTGTACAGGAAGGAAAGAGAGGATCTCGAGGAGGAAATGAGACAGAGAGGGTGTGACATGGACAAGTTTGGTAAATTAGACAACAGCGAATAAACGATCGCGATAATTGGGGATAGATGGTGGGCACAAGAGGCCCTAGAGGACGGGGATAAGATGTGCAAGAAATTTTTATGGAGTTTGTGGCAGAAACGTAAAGAGCTCCCAAATGTTGGTGGTGTCTCTAGTAGGGGTAGGAACGGTGCTCCGTCTCGGGACGCGTGGTCAATGGTCAAATGACTACGGCAAGCAACAAATGAGTACGCCCCCCCCCCCCCCCCCAACTTCCCCGCCTTCGCGTTCGTAGGAGCCCTGGGCGGCCGCGGAAGGGGCGGCGGCGGCAGCGGCGGCGGACCACGCTTCCGCCAACGTCGCCAAGGCTGGAGACCACGATGACACCGGTCTAGTCTACGAGGTGTGTTTTTGTGTTTTGTGTTTGTGTTTTGGAATTGGCATCGCCACTTCAAAAGTTTTGGACTGCCTATGCAAGGAAAAGTAAGTTTACCTCAGACAAAGACCAGGCACGGGGTACGCAGACCTTAACCCCAACCCTAACCCCAACGTAGCCGTTTCTATACTTTATCCAGTAAATTTGCTTGCTTAGAAAAACCTGCGTCGACTATCGAAAATTTGAAAAATATCCATGACTCTCTTTTCTGGTGGGGGCTTGAGGCTGTTTAACGGAGGTGCCAACACAGCAGCCGACCTGGCTTTTAAGGAAACCCAGAGTAAGGCACGCCGTGCTCTATGGGCACCATGTGCTAAAGAACGTGGTGCCCCCGCAGAATGTAAACATCAGGGGGGAGTGAAATACGTTTTCCCCGCTTTAAGGGCGCACTGATGTTGTCTTAACCCTTACGTGACTACAGGCCGATTCAGCTCCGTTCTCAGCTCCGATCACTTTGGGTGCCGAAAGATCGCCGTTGTGCCTCGGGTAAGAGCAAAAGTACTACGTAGAGACCAGCAGGGAGACACAGACAGCCCACCCCAAAAGCACGCTTATCAGCAATGCGCACAGGACTCACATAGTACAACACTATTCACCCATGCCTCATCTCTCTGACGTGGGGCAGATATCCTTTCCAGATCCAATCTACTGCCTATACGGGTACTGCTGTAGTCTAAGATTCAAACGCACAATACCACCGGAGAGGGTACATACAGCACCCTGAACATGTGATCAACTCGGTGCCGCATCCGCGGGGGAGAGCAGAGAAAGCGCACACCGGAGCCGATGCTAACGTACTGCCTCGGTGCTTGTTGTTGTTGTGGTTGCGGTGCGTGGTTCCCAGTATTGGGAGTGAAGGGTGGTTCGTCTGCTGTGTGCAAAATTTCGCTCAAAGGCAAGGGTTTTCGGGACTACAGCTCCGATCACAGCTCCGATCACAGCTCTCTATTTGTAGTACTGAATAGTAAAATTTATCACGGTTTTTATGCATTTTGTGCGATAGTGGATGATGTCTCGATTCTCTGATGAGCGAGCCGTTTTTTTCGTCGATCTGGCGCTTCTGTGAGGCGGTTTCCCGTCAGCGTCTTCGCATCTAGCGCCGCTAGCATATACATGCGCTTGTCCTATGCTCTGTCCAAGGATGAGGTGGAGAAGATGTGCCAACAGGTATTGCTTGCACAGGTACACCCTCTGCGTGGACCGTTGCTGTCGGAAACAGGCATGCACACCTGCTCAGAAACTACTGCTGCTGCTGTAGTCTATTTCTCTCCGCATAATAACTGCTACTGCTGTACAGCAGTATAATAGTACTACTGTACTCCTGTTCGTCACTCTTACATATACCGCGTCCCCATCCCTGTGAGCCCCACACATGAACCCACTGCTGCACCATCCTTGCCGCCGTGATTTACGGGTGTACACGCATGCTCGGAAGATCTTTGACCGCAGAGAGCCAGCTGTGGGGAAAAAAGCAAAAAAATCCAAATTAACCCAGTCACGTAAGGGTTAAGAAAAACCGTGAGTGACCGAAAATAGAAAAAAGCGGCGACATCAAACATACCCAAGCGCCGCCATTATCACATCAGCAGTTCTTAGACCACACACGCACGCACACACACACACACACACACAAAAAAGGATCGTGCTTTTTTTATCCCGCTGCACGACTGACGTCTATTCATTTTCATTGATCAACCCACCAAAATAGCGCGCTTCGGAAAAACTCAGCCATGTTTGAAACGCCCTGTTGCACGTGCAATATCTCGACGAAATTTCCCTTTGTTTCGCAGATAGCTTTCCCCCAAGCTGGGGCCCTGGGACTCAACCTCCGGACTTACCTCGCGGAACAGCCCGCCGGTGCACGGCTCGGCCTTCCCCCGTACGGAAGCTTGGAAGTGCTCGACGCTCAGAAGTTTTACCTGAAGGCAAGTGTGTCAGAGAGTGCCGTGGCCTGTACCGATCGATCTAGAGCGGTGACAGCAGCAGAACTCAACAAAGAACGAGTGTTTATTTAGTCCGGCTCCGGAGCGCCTGTTTTTACGAGAGGTGGGGGGGGATTGATGCCGGCGATTTTTCAATGCAACCAGTGACGAAGCGCTTTGGGGGGGATATACTGTAGGAGGTTGCCTTTTTTTTTGGGACGTGGTGGCGTTGGTATACGTGTAAGGAGGGGGCTGTATTTAAAGGTTTTGCTCGTGGGTATTGTTTAGTTTTCAGGTTTTGGGACGCCACACGGACAGAAGAAGGCACTGGGCAGAGAGAACGGAACGGTTTGTAATGTGAAGACAACAACAACAACACATGTAAGGGGATGAGAAAAAATATATCGCAATTTTTTTTGGCGGGACATGGATACATTCGCTACATACTGTGTACAGTACGACACGCTTGGCGGTTGGTTGTATTCCACGTTGCACTCGTAATTCATGGCATCGCTGCCTCCGCCTAAGGGGCCTACACGTACCCCGAACGTTCCTTCCACGGCGTTCTTCTTGCCCGCACCCGACCCCGGGCCTCTTCTAAGAAACGCTTGCTGCGCGGCGCGCCGCCTCCCCCAGAAGCAACGGCCGGCAAACCGGCGACTCTGCAGCAAAACCAGCAGTTTCAATCTCTCTCTCTCTTGGGAGTCGTTGGACATACGCATTTATCAAACAGAAAATTGTTGAGCTGCAGCAGTAGTGGTACCGGTATATTGCCGGTGCGATCCAGTCGATTTCACCGACATTGTTCAGAGTTTGAAAACAACTTGCATGTTCCTTCTGTGCCAGACGGTTTCACCGGCAGTACACAGGGCAACTGGCATTATACCGGGACCACTGCTACCGTATACCCACACTTTGTTTGCATGCCGCTCCTGAATTAAAAACGAAGGCGATCGTTGAACCGGGGGACCTCCTTGTGGCCATCAACGGCAAGAAGCTCACCGGAAGCAGGTTCAGCTTCGAGGATGCCATCGCTGTCTGCAGCAGAGCGTCCTTGCCAAGGTGGGTGGGAGGCGGGAAGCGGAACACCCGTGCTGAATCACCCACCCTCGACGCCTTGTTCATCCTGTCGAAACCTAACCTGGGCCGGCGAGAAACCTGGCCTATCGCTCCGTCCCGGCATTGTAGGGGTGCTAAGTCAATGGCCTAACGACTACGGCATGCGTTTTACTTGAGTCCGCCCCCCCACACACACACGATTCGAAGAAGTCCATACAGTTTCATTATTTTTCTTTTTTTTAATGTCGTTACATCAATTAATAGTAGCAATCTGTCTCGGAAGCCGGGGGTCTCCAGTCACCGGAATATCAAACAATATCGCCAGACATGAGGCGGATGTCTTCAGGTGCACGTGTAGACAAGTTCCCCTTGGGATGTGTGATGTGGATACCGTAGGTTGCATAAGATATCACACTTTCATTAGATACCACACCCCCTCAGAAAACGTACACAATACCACACCCGTGTGCTATTTTTTTCAGCCCCCCAAAAAACGTCATTTTATCACACGGTGACATAAGATACCACACCCCCTGAAGTTGGGCCGCATTAAATCGACGGAGCCCCTGCTTATCACACGGTGTGACAACGTGAGGACAGAGATCACGACCACACCACCTGCTCGCAAGAGCCATGGAGGCGGACAATGTCGTGGAGGGTGGTGCAGTTAGCAACCCTGCTGAAAGCCCCGCGGCTCAGACTGCAGTGGGTAAGACTCCAGCGGCGGTCCCACGCTCCATAGCGTCCTTCTTTCCACCCGCCCCGGGGGAACGTGGGGCTGCTCGGACGACTCCCTCAGCAGCCGCACATGACACCGCACGTACTGCTGAGGCCCGCTCAATAGAATCTACTGCTACTGAGACTCCCACAGCACCGGCTGCGCCTGCCACCGCGGGTGCCGCTGAAACCTGCGAAGCAGAACCTACTGCTGAGAATCCCGCAGCACCCACACCCACACCCGAAAAGGCAGCTCTCCCGCCAACCACCAACACCCTGAGCGCGGCTACTGCTGAGAACCCTGCAGCAGCACCGCGCTGCGGAGAACCATCGTGCACCAACAAGCCCTTGTGGGCAGAGCCAGGGAAGGATATGCCGGAGTTTTGCGGCAGGCATGCGAAGTCTGGCGACGTCTACATCAAAATAAGGTGTGCGCAGAGCGTCTTGCAGTTTGCAGCACATGGGTGTTTGTGAGGATTCTCATGGCTCAAGCAAACCAAAGAACATGCCACGCCTGATTGCCTGATCGATAACCAGATCGAAAAAATAATGTGATTTTGACGTCGTGTTGTCGCGCTCGCCTCACTGTACATTGGCATGTACACACTACATTTACATGTAGTTCATATATTGTGGTGTGGGCGAAATGTTTACTGGATTGTTTTTTTCACACACACGACACGTTTCCGCATACCGTTTTTTGTGTTTGATGTTTCGGTAGGAAGACTGCGAAACCCGTACCCAACACGTGCAAATATGTAAACATAACCTCGACAGCAGTTCGTGCCTGTTTGTGTGAGATACGAAATAGGTGCCGTCAGCTGCTCACCCTCTGTACCTTGCAAGCGTGGACGACATGACTCTCAACCTGGTGGCCGTTGTCAGAGCTATCCGCTAGCCATCGTATTTTTGGTACGTTTGCCTGATGGTCGTTGGAGCGAGCGCATTGTTACAGATACTGCACTTAACGACACGTATGCTACATGTTGTGTTGCTTCCTCGAACTCATGCGCTTTTCAGGAACGTGCACCTGCCTGAAGCACCGACGACAGCAGCCGCAGCGGCGCCCGTCGGCGACGCCATGTTTCCTGGAGAGTCAGAGGAGTGGACAGATGGTTTCGGTGGGCGTCTCGACGGCACGCCGGCCGAGGGCAAGGGCAAGGGAAAGAGGAAAAGAGAGCCGCTGGAATTGGAGCCACCAAACTTCCCCATTAAGTTTGGTGGTGGCCAGAAACGCAAGCGGTACGATTTGGAATTCAAAGTAAACGCCATTAAGTACGCGACCATGCAAGCCCGGAGGCGCAGGGGCCTAATGGAACCATCGGTGTGTCGTATGCGCAACGAGTGCTTGGGATTTCCGAGAAGATCATACTCTCTGCGTGGATAAAAGACAGAACAAAGTACGAGAAGCAGCTGGAACAGGCAGACCAGCTCGGGGCCAAACGCAAGAAGAAAGCCCGGAGCGTGAAGTCGTTCAGAACGGGGAGGGTTAGGTCAAACGCTGAGGCCGAGCTCGAACTTCTCGACTGGATCAACGATGTTCGTTCGGAAGCCACCTCTGCCCGCGTCTCTACAAGGATGATCAAGAACAAGGTGGTATCGCTCAACTCGCTTTGGTTCGGCCCGAGGCCTGCAGCGAACGACCTGGGGGGGCAGTAGAAAGTACCGCAACAAGCAGACTCACTGGTGCAGGAGGTTCCTTAGGAAGAACCGGTTGTCATTCCGGGCGGTTACCAGGCAAGGCCAGAAACTCCCTTCCGGGTGGCCTGCGATTGCCATGAAAGCCGTCAAGGAATGGAGGGCGCTTCGTCACGGAGGAATCGACGGTGGGGGAGGACGGAGCATGGGGGGGGCAACGAGCAATGCGCCTTCGAAGCCACCTCTGTTGTTCAAGGAGGAGCAGAGCTACAGCATGGATGAAACTGCTGTGTGGATGGAGCCCGCTGGCACGTCGACCGTGGCGGTGAGTTCAATAGTGTTGCTTCGAGTCATGTGCCTGTCTGGTCGTTTCTTGGCATTCCGTGCAAACAGTGGGCATTGTGATGCAATATTTCTTGCCGTACGTACTCAGTGTCCAGCCAGTAAGGCTAGACGACGTTGGTATTGCGCTTATGCCGGGTTAGAAGTTTCTTACCATTCGCATCCATCATCGCTGTACTGCAAAACCCATACGTTGCTTTGTGCGTGAAGAGCTGTCATCCTCATCTACAAAATCGACTTTTTTCGTCGCCTCTGCTTTCTCTATTGCTTATTGCTTTTTATTTTGTCGTTCGCAGCACACCGGTCAGAAAGAGGTGGCCATCAAAACCGGTGGAAAGGAAAAGTTGCGGATCACTGCCGTGCTTGCAGCAAACATGAAGGGCGGCAAACTCCCGGCGCTGCTCATCTTCAAGGGTAAGCCTACGGCGCCGGGCAAAACCCCCGCTGCCAACAGCATCGAACGAGAGTTCAAGGTGGGCAAGGACAAGAAGGGGATAGTATACCCTCAGAGCGTTGTGTACGCCGTGGACGACAAGGCGTGGCACACGCAGCGCGTCTTCAGGGATGTTTGGCTCCCCCAAGTGTGGAACCGGCGCCCGGGTCGCGAGGGGGTCCTGGGCAACTACCGTCAGCCGGACACGCTGCTATCGTGGGACGATTACACCGTGCACAAGACAGCCCTGTGCAAGGAAGCGATGGACAAGTCCAACACGACGCTGTTTTTTGTCCCCGGAGGCCTAACGCCCAAGATCCAGCCTTGCGATGGACTTATGAACAAGCTGTTCAAGTCCAACATGTCCAGGCTCTACGATGACCACATGGCCTCCACCGACGCCGTGCGCAACGACCGCGGCTACCCGGATCCCCCATCGAGGGGATTGCTCGCGCAGTGGGTGAAGAAAGCGTGGGATGAAGTGGACCCTGAGAGCATCCGTTCGAGCTGGAGGAAGGCTGGCATGACCCTTGCCTTCGATGGATCTGAGGACGAGGCGTGGGCCAACAAGGAGCTCAAAAAAATCCGACGCCCAAGGGAAACCACTTCGTGCAGACGGCGACGCGGCCGATGCCGGCGTGGAGGAGGCTGGCCCATCGGAGGAGGGGGAGACGATGGCCGACTTGTTGGAGGTGTTGGAAATCGACGACGATGACAGCTCGGGAGATGGCGAAGGCAACGATGACTCGGAGGTTGAGGTCATGGCAGACTTGCCGGGGGCGGACGTTATTTGCATAGACTGAGGTGTCTTGTCTGGTATCTACCTACCGTAGTTGCATGCCATGGTCAAGTCAACCAAAGCTGCTATTCGAGCCAATTTGTCCTGGGTTTCATATGTTTCGGTAGTCGCTTGTCCTCGTGGTTTCTAGCTTTGGTTGATATGTAGCTGGCACTTGCTTGCGTCCTATGTGGTTCCAGCTTGAGTGGTGAACGCAAGTCTTGCAAGTGGTTGCGTCGTCCAGGTGCCTGTGTGCTGTCGTTTTGTCGCACACAACACCGGCACAACCGCTATGAGGTATCGGTTCTACGTCTTCGTTGTGTACCTATGCGAAGAATATCCAAAGGATACTGCGAAGATGCACGTGGGAAAGCATGTACGTGATGGAGTGGTGTGAGCCATCCTAGCTATCACACCTGTTTTACACCCCTTGACGCCCTTTGTACGTGGGTGCCTCCTGTAAGCGCACCGCATCACTCGAGCGACATTATTATCACACCCCCGTAGGTAGGGTCTTGTGGGCGCACGGCAACCACACGGGCGACATTATCACCCCCCCGTCAGGCCGGGTCCTGTGAGCGAGTATCACCACACGGGCGAAGTTATCACACCCCCTTGTTATCACACCCCCTGTAAGCCGGGTCCTGTGAGCGCGCTTCATCACACGGGCGACGGTATCACACTCCCTTGTTATCACACCCCCTTGTTATCACACCCCCTTGTTATCACACCCCCTGTTGGTGAGACTCTGTGAGTACACTTTATCACACGGGTGACATAAGATATCACACCCCCTACAGAATACCACACCCGTGTGATAACTTTCGTCCTCCCGAAAATGTTATCACACGGGTGTGGTATCTTATGCAACCTACGGTACACACCGGTTCAACCTCTTGCGGAGAGGCTGAAGAGTACGGATAGTTGGGTTCTGAGAGTCGGGGGGGAAGCGAGCCTGCTGCAGCAGGTTCAGCGTCCAACATACACTGACTCTATCTGTGGCAACACCCCGAAGGTAGATCTCCGACAGATCATCTGACGTCACAATCTACGACAGTCTGAGGTGGCATTCACAGCATCCCCCTATCTTCAATCTCGGGGCCTGAATCCGGATTGAAACATACAAGAATGACATGGATATCACAGAGTGTCATGTACACATCCCGGAACTTGTCCACACGTGAACCTGGAGACATCCGTCTCATAGTTGGCATCAGCGGCAGGATACCAGCGGACGACGCCGGATCTTGTTGGTCTTCCCTGGGGAGAGGGCGGTTCATAGTCGACCAGCTGGTCCGTAGAGACCGTACCCTCCTGAACACACCCTTGCAATGTTGCAAGACTGTCGGCAGATGCAACAGGTAGCGTAGTTCGAAAGACCAACAACGGGAAACCATGTTTTCTCGATAACTTATTTTTTGTGCACTGCCGTGTGGCTTGTCAGGGTGCTCCGATTTGCCCGCATGAAGGGGGCTTCCGCTGCGGAGATCGAGTGCGCTTTCGGGGCTGATGTGGTGTGTGCGACGTTCGACGCCATGGTGAGTGTGGTGTAAAACTAATTTAAGTGTGGCGTTTCGTTTTCATCGTTGTTGCTCTTCGGTTGTACTTTTATGCCGTCGTCGTCTTTGTTTTCCACGTTGACACCCGGTCTGAACAATCTATTCCGTTTTCCGTAGATGATTTTCTAGCCGTGACAAGCGTGCTAGACGCACAACCTCAAGAACTGTTTTTGTGTTCGATTCTTCGGTGCCGTAGATAGTTCTAGCCTTGAGGTTATTATGGTGATCTTTTCTACGGGCACGACGGGGGACGGTATGCGTAGCGGCATGAATCGCCTCTGTCGTGTTGGTTGCGGTCGATTCTTGCTGTGTTTAGCGAGGTTCTGCATGGATGGACAGAGTTATCGCAATATGTCGTATTTCTTTATCGATTATTGTGTCTCTTTCTGCGGTACTTGAAGTATAGTCGTGCCTGCCGAAGGTTAAACGTTTGATTAGCCGGGATGCCCAATGAACCCCTGGCATTCCTGGTTTGGCAAGGATCATGATGGCCAGCTTCTGGTTCATCCTTGCCGAATGTAGCCAGAGCTGGCGGACACCCGGCATATCGCTCCGTCCCGGCATTCGTTGTAGGGACGCGAGGGCAATGGTCTAACGATTACGGCATGCGTTTACATGAGTACCCCTCTCCCCTTCCCCCATGCTGTCATCCGTATGCAAGGACAACATGCCGAACACCCTTAGCAGGATGCAGGGCACCCTCCACGCGACCGACTCGCCGAATTCCTCACGACGCTTCGCACTTGGTGATGAGCTAGCCTGAGCCGGCGACCACCCGGCATATCGCTCCGTCCCGTTTGCGAGGTCAATGGTCTAATACACGACTACAGCATGCGTTTACATGTGTACCCCCCCCCCCCCCCGCGCGCGCCATGCCTCACGTAGGACGCGCCCCAGCAGCGGCTGGTGACGGCACAGCTACACCCCTCGGCACCCTCCCATTTTTTTCTCAACCCGCCAACTAGGCGGGGGACGAAGACCCCTACCGCGGGTACAGCTGCTGGCGGTGCTGAGGCGACGGCGGCGGCGATTGGTGAGTCTGCGCCATCACAATCAATCGCCACAGGCGACGACAAAGCAGGCTGCGACAACGTGTAGTACCCGGCCTGGTTCGGCAACAATGATAATGGGCACCGAAGGCGCCTCAGCGGTAGCAACCCCGGCCCCGGTGACCTAGCCGCCTCCTACGCTTGCTTGCTCGGTTCCGACAACCCTGCGCACGCAGGAACAGCGGCCAGTCGAGTTGTGTGTGCGTATAAGTATAATACGCGTTTTTACAATTTTTTTGCTTACAGTGAACGCGCGCGCCGGCTGTTGTGTATTATTCGGGATGATGCCCGGAAAATTTTGATTTTTTTCTATAATTATTTGTTTGCCCGCCGGGGCCTGCAGTCCGTCTGTGCCTAAATGACCGAGAGGATATAGAGGGCGCCTGGCAATCTGCTGACGCATGGGGGTTGCGCGAAGGCGGGCGGGATTAGTAGTCGGGGGTGACTGCGCATGCCCGCACGATGAGACCCAACGGATAGGATGTTGGAGGGGACGGGCGGCGGCAAGCAGCCTGATTCAGAGCATTAGTTGTTGGGTGATGAAAGTTCATCCGTTATGTATGCAACCAATTTCACTATTTTTTCTTTTTAGTTTCTTGCGGGGGGCAGCTCTACAACGAGAGTTTGGTGCACGAGACGGTCCTAAGGCAGGCATGGATATGGATGGAGGAGTGATAGCTGGAGTGGATGGTGGTAGAGGAGCTAGAGAGGGAAGAAGACTCCCCGTGTGGCGTTACCCCTGCGCGGCCCCCGCTGGTAATGCGTCCCAAACACAGGCAGAGCGAAGGTGGCCGTGCTACAGAGGACCGTCAAGGAATCTAGAATGTATCTGTTTCTTCTATGTCTGTACAGCAGGTAGATGGACTTTATGTTTCTCGCCCGGCGTGAACAATGGAACAAAGCAAGGCAGGCGACCTTGCTTGGTGGAACTCAGGGCTACACCTGGGCTGGTGAACGCTCTTTTGGACCAAGGAGTATATCGGAAAAGAAGGGTTGATGAAACCAACAGCAAGACGATTACAACATGCGTAAAATGTAGCATACTTCGAAGTACAACGTAAGATGTTTAGCCTGTGATTTGCTGTGATCATTGATCAGGGGAGACGGTAGATGATGGTGGTACGCATATTTCACGCATGCACTATTATAGCATAGCATAGGTTTGCAATCTCTTGAACCCGACCCCGGGAGGAACTTCTCCCCCCAAGACACCTGTGTCTTGTAAGTTCTAAATCGCGGTCTCGCTGCTGCATCCGCAACTGCTGTGCCTTTCATTTTGTGTATTGACAACGACTACACGAATGGTTAGTTACTCCGTTGTTATTCCCATCTGTCTATGAGACGCCGCTGACGCCACTATGAGACTGTTGTCTCCAGGTTCGCGTGTGAGCAAGTTCCCGTTGGGATGTGTGGTGTGGATACACACCGGTTCAACCTCTGGTGAAGAGGCTGACGAGTACGGATAGTTGTGTTGTGAGTCAAGGGGGGGAGCAACCTTGTGTTGAAGCAAGGTTCAGCATCCATCCGACACTGACTCTATCTGTGGCAACACCCCGAAGGTAGATCTCCGACAGGTCATCTGACGTCACAATCTACTACAGTCTGAGGTGGCATTCACATGTCTGCTTGTTTTTATTGTTTTTATGAGAATCAATCACATCATCAATGATGATGCAGTGTTTGATTGCTTACAGCTCAGCTACTACTCTTTGCCGCACAGCTAGCTCTAGACTGCGAGGTACTGCTGTAGTTTTTTATTTGATCAAGAGAGATTCGAACCCGCAATGGTCGAGATTTACTGAATGAATCAGTTTCCAACTACATACAGCAGTACTAGACCACCAAACATGGGACGTAGAGGTTGGTTGAATGGGTCGGGCATCATGGGATTGGCTCAAGGTGTCCGCTGAATGTTTCTCATTGAGTTTGTGGTTATTTTTGTTGCAACACACGATACTCAAATCCGAACTCGAGACTTGGTCTATTAAGGAAAAATAAATACACACACAGAAAGACTACCCATTCGAGATATACTACCCACAGTCGAACGGCTATTGGTCCATTTCCAAAGATTCTGCTCAAAGATTCTTCTACAATAGAGCCAGCATTGTTTCAGTTGCGGTTCAGAGCAAAATTGAACTTCCTCTCTGTCTCTATTTACGTTGCGAATTCTCAATTCCCTTTGAAGTTTGAAGTGAACTTGAATTGAACCCAGAGACACCAAGCGAGAGAAGAGAACACAAGCTCCCAAGAAGTAAAGTGGGCTGGTCAATGGGCGCATGCTTGTCTGCAGCATCAGTATACGTATCCAGAACCAGAGGAAGAGCGTCCTTTTTTTACTTTTTTTTTGTGCTATGCCCACCCCTATTTTTTGACCTTCAACTTGCAAGACTGGGACGCCTGATCGATGCTCAAATGACGTGTGTTGCCCCCACTGAACTCAGGTCTCCAACTGGCTCCAGCACCAACAAGAGAGCAGAAACCCAAGGTAAGAATGCTCGAAGAAGGTGCACCTGTGTGTTCTGTCTGTCTCCTGCCTCGTTGGGCGCGCTTTTGGGCGAGCTTTTCGGAGCGACATGCGGAGGAGGGTTGCTCAACAGCAGTTTGCTGTTTGATTTTATGTGTCCAAGGAGCAGCCTTACTTGTAGAGAGATTGAAACTGCTGGTTAGTTGCCGAGTCCGCCTTGTTTGTCGTTGCTCTTTCTCCATTGGGCTCAAGCTCTTTGTCCCAACAGCAGCCAGGCGTTGGAAGCAAAAGCCTGTAACACACTCTTCCATGCCTATTTCCTCCCCGCAAACCCCCTCGGCCTTACAGGCGTCGACCCAGCTCTCTTTTGTGTGTGTGTTTGCGGCCCTCCGGCAAACATCCGGCTGTGAAAGTAATATTATTGCAGACGCAGCACTGAAGTCTCCGCATTTTTCCATTTTCCCGCTTCTTATTATTCCCGCCCCTCTTTCCCGTTCCCCCCCCACCCAATCACACGGCAGCAGCAGCAGCGGCATCGATGGCTTGCGCTTCCAAGACAGCAGCCCGCACTCCGAGGAAGGTAAAGTGCTGCTACCCTGTAATTCACCATATTCCCGTATAGCGCACACAGCAGGAGCATGACAAACTAGCGAGCCCTGCTGCAAAATGAATGCAGGAGCTAGCCAGCTCTATCGCAAGCGTTGTTCTTTGGCGCAACCACCACATGCACATGTCGGAGCCTCCGAGGTCGGATTACCAATCGTGCGAAAGGATCTTTAGGGGGTTCGGGGGTAGGGTTTCCGGAAGGTTCGGAAAGCATGCCGTACTTTTTGGGCGCGCGCGCACGCGGTTCTTGACGGTTTGGAGGTGGTACTCGGCTAGCTCAGCTCTGCTAGCTTGCACACTGAAGCCCGAGCTGTGCAGGCTTGCAGAGCCCGCCTGCTCGTATGTTCAGTGGAGTATGTTCCTGCGCGCACAGGGGACTCATGGTGTGTAGGGGAGGAGAAGAATGCTGCTAGAAAAACATGTCAGGACCGCCGAAAGCAATCAATTAGTCTACAATGTAGACTGTTGTCGGGGGCACCGATTTGTATGTGCGCGCTACCGGGCTGCCGGCCGTTCGGTAGGGCGTGTACTGCTGCTGTACGAAGAGCGAGTGGAATATCTAGCTGAGTCTAAGTGCTGTAGGTCTAGGCCTT